GTTGCTGCTGCTGCTGCCAATTCGTATTTTGCCGTCTTCTTTATGACTTTGTTTCTGGCTCTTAATTAACAAACAAAAGCTTCTGGCTCCTGGCTCCTGGCTGCCTGCTCTGCCGTGTGTTTGATTATCCCGCTCATGTTTAGCCCCAAGACAAGCATTTACATGTGCGCGTGTGTGCGGCAGTTGTCTGAGTAAAAAGTGTTGCCCCGTGCCAGCTTTAAGATGCAGCAATAAAGGCTGAGCTAAAATGTACAAGAAGGTTGAATGGAAGCCTCGGAACTGGCGACACACGGCTTCTCCTTTGCCTGATTCAATCATTTGAGCAGCATTCTAAATAGTTGAAGTTAAACTGTGTGTTTGCCTTTGCTTTTGGGTGACTGCCAAGTTCGAATTGCAGCTCATTGGGAGACCTGGAAAACTGTCAATTTGTAGATTGGCGTTTAATGACAGCTCAAAGACACTTGGCCTGAATTGGATGAATTCTGTCGTTGCAGCAGGACCGAGCAGCTGTGCCAGAAGCCTGCAATTTGCAAACTCAACGGCGAGCCCAAATGCAGCTCGCTCTCTCCGCTCTCTCCGCTCGCCCTCTGGGGTGGTGTGGCCGCCTTTGGCAGGACCCGAACCCGGACCCCAATACACCTTAATTAAAGGCAATTATGCGCTCAAAGGCATAAATGATGGGCTGGTCTGAGGGCGGGCCAAGGGAGCTGCCAAACTGTTATGAGTTTTAGACCTGAGAGCTGACAAAATTGCTGCACACTGGCCAGAGCAAAGAGCCGGGCCAAAATCGGTTTGCAGTTTCTTTTTGGGTGGAAATTGTATTTTATTTTCCGAAGGAGCGTTATGTAGTTAAGCGAGTGCAGGTATGCCGAGAGCCAAAGTACTCCTAATGGTGGCCTGCAGGGCAATACTCCGTTGAGCATACGCCCGAGTGGCCTGTAAGCTGATTTGCAGAGCCAAAGCGGATAAGATGTCTACCAAGAAGTTGTTGTGTTTCGAGCCAAAAAGCAGTATGCAAATAGACCGAGTTCAACGAGCTAAGCTGCAATCAATATTCAAATCCACTTTGCCATTTCAATTTGATGTAATCAATTGTTTGCCATTTTTGATGGAGTAGAGACGCCACGCCGTTGAGTACTTTGACTCTCTGTCCACTATTTATTCTAATCGCACAGTTTTAATTTGTAGCAGCAGCGACTGAATCACATTCAGATTCAGATTCAGATTCATCCACTTCAAAATGAAATGCAAATCCTTTACAAAATCCGGCCGCACTCCAGTGGCCCGAACCCGAACTCTGTCGCCGTCTCCGTCTCCGTCTCCGTGTCTAACTCCAGAGTTCATTATTATGCTGCGGAAATACGAGTAACCTTTGTCTCGAATTAATTAAAATGGATTTACATGAGCTCAGCATGTCCACAGAGGCTACACCTTTGTGTCCTTTGACCATATCCTGGATGGGCAATGTTTTGCATGCCGATGCCTACCCGACATCCCGACTTCCTGTCGAGCACCGCAGATAAATATTTATATTTCGCTTTTTAATCTTTTGTAATTTCAAGTCGCGCTATTCACTCCCCTGTCTCCCTGTCTCCCTGTCTTGTGTGCTCAACTTTAGCTATTTTGCACTGCTCTCTGTTGACTTTTCAATTTGAAAGTTGAAAGCACTTAGGGTTATTAGAATGGGATTCCAAGGAGTAAGCTTCAAGTGGCTTTGGCTCGGGGATTTTCTGTCCCAGCTTAAGCGAAAAAATAAGAACTTCTAAAACGAGCATTTAAAAGTCAAATCAATTAGGTTTGATCCATGAGATTTCTTGTTTCGTTTCAAATAAACGAGTTTGAGCAAAATAATTCCATTTATTTGTGGGCCCTAGACACAACACCAAAACGAGGCGAATTCGCGTCACAGCGAATTCCAACCACGAGAGCGCACGCAAAGAGAAAACGAATTCCAAGCGCGATAGCGCAAGCAAAGAGAAAACGAAGGAGAGCGAATTGAGAGCGAGAGAGCGGACAACCGATCGGCGAGAGAGAAATCGAATTCTTGTACCGTTATACCATATTTAATCACTTATGAACCTTTACTTATAGGCAATAAACATAAACCCCCACATACATGTGAAATATTCATGCGAAAGAGTTGGAACTTATTTGAATACTCAAAACCTTACAATGAATCCATCAGAATGGCCTGCCAAGTGTCGATTCCATCACCTTCAGCCGAACTATGACCTCAAATATTGCTGGTTGCTGCCCAACCCACATCAACCCCCGGGCCAAGGTGGCCGTTTGGTGCCTTTTGCATCGAGTGAAATTAATTTCAATTTACATTTAAATGCAGTCGCCCGTCGACTGGCGACAGGCGGGTTCAACCTGTGACCCGACCTTGCCATAACTCAGCTCTCAGGCCCCTCCGCCCCATACTCCACCCCAATTCCTCTTGACTTGTGCACATTTTTAATGCCTTCCAACTTTACGCTCTTTTTTTAATACCATAATTGGCTTACAGACGAAGGTTAGCAGCAGGAGAGAGAAAAAAAAAAATAGGAAACGACGACCGAATCGCACACAAATTATTCAAGAAAAATTTTTGACAGCACTCGCGCTTTCCTTCTGGTGGTCCTGCTGCTTTTTGCTCCTCTGCTGATGGTTGGCACTTGAAAGGACAACCTTGAAATGAATGTCCGCCATTGCAGAAAAATGTTGGCAGCATTAAAGATTTATTAGCTAAGTGCACTCGCCGCTCTTGGCGTGTCGGTGGCCAGTCCCAGTCCCCGCAGCCATCGCCAATTGTTGGCCAATTTTGAGTTGGGTCACCGCAGCGGCGCCTTCTAGTTGGCCATTATTCAAAATATTTACACTAAAAAAAATACGAGAAACGCAGGAAAACCCAAGCCGGAAAATATGAAGAGTTTTTAAGGTGAAAGAAAACGCTTTAAATATTTAATGGAGTCCCAATTCATCGCATACTCAATATTAGTTTAATTCCTGTCTTCTTTTTTTCTGCCTGATTGCAATTGTGAATGCAGAAGGAAATTCTTTTGCATTGCGCATTCCCCATCAACAATTTCCATTTTCCATTCAGCCACGACTTCATTTGCCAGCGGAGCGACTTGGACTGGACTTGGACTTAGACTCAGACCCAGACCCAGACCGAGACCTCTCCGATCTGTGTGCATTTTCTGGCAACGCCTTGCGCTCTCTCTCCCGCTCTATGCTACATCAATTTTATTGACTTTTCCCATCGTTCCACTCGATTGAATGCACAATTTCATTAGCAGGCATGCCACAAGCAGCAGCAGCAGCATCAGCTCAGTGGAGTTTGGGGCCTCTCCCGTCCGCTCTCCATTGAACTGCATTTATCCAATGTCATCAAAGACAATGGAATGCTGCCAACAGTTTCAATCAATACTTTTTGTGCCACAAATAGTGGGCATAAGTCAGTCATTCTCTCATCCCAAAGTGGTCCTTGTCCTCGGCATAATCGTGTTAACAGCAGCCAGGGCCAAAGTTTTAATTCAATAAACGCAAGTCATGAACATCACCAGCACAATGGCGTCGGTAGGCTTCTTAATAAACTTCAAATCCCGACAGGCCGAGTTCCATTCTGGTTTATGGTTGCCTGGTTGCCCGGTTGCCCGGTTGCCCGGTTCCTTGTTCCCTGTTCCACTTTCCTGATTATGACTCTGCGGAAGCCAAAAAACTTTTAATTAGTAGGCTGGTCGAAAGTTTTTCAATTATTGCCACCTGCACTTACTTACATTAACCCGTTCGTTCCGCCCCTAACGACCAACTCCCCAGCCACCGCGAAAGATTAGACAAAAACCATTTTGATTTTAAATCAACTACCAATACCCAAAGGGCAGAGCCCACCACTAATGAGCTCAGCTCGAGGCAGGGTCCCAGCTAATTATGCCAGCAACGAGTGCAAATAATGCTTGGGGCCCCTCTAGAGTCGAAGGTTATCTGGATTATGGACTTTAAAGTTTGTGGTCCTTGCCTGAATTCGTCGCCCAGCCCCAGGCGGGCAGGCAAATAAATATATCTTTGGCTGCATGACAAATGCCGTCTAGACGACAACAGTCAGTGGAGAGCTTAGCGGGGCTCAGTCCCTCCGTTTGGTGGCATTTTTGATTGCCTGCAGACTGCATCTTTTGCCGGTCCTGCTCCCTAAACTACTCCTCCTCCTCCCGTGAGCACCAGATTGAAACGTTTTTGGCTGGTAGGTGCGCTCTTTTTTTCGTGCCACAAATCACTAAAGTCTGTCTATAAATGGTTGATGTTGATGGTGAAAGTCAAGCGGCTTTGGTGACTCTATGTTTTCCAGCTAGATAGGCACTAGAAAAAATGGTTTTAAAAGCAGAAAAAGACTCGACACACAGGGGAACAGGACATGGCGGCGAGTGCTTTCAAGAGTCTGTGGTACTGGCAGCGATTACAATCTGTTTTCCCTAGATATTTGGCTGTGCTTTAGGAATATTGTGAGCACATCCCAGGCTTCTTCCATTAGGCTTTGAATCCACAACAGTTGTGACTGGAAAAATATAATTTTATTTGGAATAAATATTTGATTTTAATTCTAAAAATCTACCATTCAACCAGATTAAAGGCTCTCTTTGCAGACTGTTCCCATGGAGAACTAGAAAGAATTAAAAATAAGTTATTCTTACCTTGATGTTGGAGAAATCATTACATTGTCCATAGAAGCAGGTCTTTGAGTGTAATCCTCAATTCCGCAGACTCTTTTATATTCATTCATTATGTGACGACTGTGTGTGGCTCTACTTTTTCTACTCTTTCCTAATCCTGCGCGTCATAATCATATATCAAAGCGGCACAAAAGCTACCACATAATGAGCTGCCAGCAAAAGACATCACGCAGCAGCATGGGTTGAGGGAGCGAGGGAGTTGCAACAACATTGCGTCTACTTCTACTTTGCAAATTACTTTCACATTGCATCCACACACGAACACACACACTCGATCCCAAGACCAGAACCAGCAGCAGCAGCAGCACCAGCACCAGACCCAAGTGCTGTTGTTTATGTAGAAGAAACTGTCATGAGTCTACTAAGTACTTGTGACATGGCCCATGCCACATGCATATGCAACATTTGCTTTCGCTGCGCCGACATAATTTGCGACGAAGTGCTCTACAAAATATGCAGATGCAAAAGGAGAAGCAGCAGCGGCAGGAGCAGGAGCATATGTGAAGGAAGAAACAGCAACGCCAAGCTGAGCAGAGGTGCAGTGGAAAAAAAGGCAAAATAATAACGGAATTCCTTTAATTTTCACACCACTGCAAGGCTTGTGGGTTGCAGGACCGCCCAGGACCACCCAGGACCACGACCAGACATGGTAACAGCCACAGACATTGACGACAGTGGCCCAGAGGCGAGCAAGCCGGAGCCTGGCAACTTGAACGGTTAAGTACTCCGCACACTCCCAGAGCAGTCAAGTCAACTGAAAACGTGACAGGATATCCTGCTGCTCCCACTCCTTCTGATTCTGAATCCTTCCATTCCCTTTCTTTTCTCACTCAATGATTACGCCAGCAGCATGCAAATGATAAAGCGAACGTGTCGCCTAATGTGCACCACATTATAATAGGGCATCTGGGGAGTTGAGGCCGGAGTAGTGCCTGCCCCACTAACAATTTAAATCCATTTGTATTACCTTCTACTCAGCGTGTTGCACCACATATCACGGCGATGCAGTCAATTAGGCTCATCATTTATTTACAAGCATGCAAGTCATCAAGTTGTGACCTCTCTGCACTTCCTCTCAAATACAAAACTCATTAAAAAGAGTTGCCATTACCCATCCTGCGAGCTGAGAGCTGAGAGCTACGAGCTACGAGCTAAGAGCAGACATCCCTTCCGCTGAACAAAGTTTCGCAGCATGAGAATATTTTTCGGGTGTGTCAACATTTACATAAAACTTATGACAAGCTCAAATTGAAAATTATTTTACGTGAAATGACAATTGCAACTTTCTGCAACCTAGAGTTGCGGAGGGTAAAGGCATATTGGTTTTTCCATATCGTCTTAAATGAATGATCAAACAATTGTTGAAGACTTACTTTCGTGGCTGGTTCTAATAGAGGTCTCCACATTTATATTTTCTTATTTTTATACCCGGTACTCGAAGAGTAAATAGGGTATATTGTATTTGTGCACAAAGTGGATTTTGTATTTGCAGATTTCAAAGCGAATGGAGAATGTACCAAATATGTGAAATCACCCTACACTGATTTAGTCGGCTTGCACGGAATTCCAGAGACGGATAGTCAAAGTGCTCGACACAATAAATGTGCATGCGATTTGTAAGTAGGAGAGCGAGTCATAAGCCACCAACACCAAGAATCCAATTGTCTTTCCTATTCACTCATACAAAGCAAAGAGAACGACAGAGCTGTCCCGCATTGTTTTGCCGTTACTTTGCTCTCTCGCTCTCGCAAGAAAACCAGGGAGAACCATAAAGAAAAAGAAACCATCAAGACAAAACGGCACATATTGATAGTTTATTTAAAATAAATTATAAATTTAACTCCCTTTATATTTTCCAATCGACTTTCCGATTGGATTCAAGCCAGCACTCCAGCAGCTCAACATTTTCTTATTCTTTCTCCTTTTGACTTTCTCATTAGTTAAATGTAAAGAGAGCGAACATTCCAGATTCAAACTGTTTCAAAAACGTATGTAGCTTCACCCTACACTGATCTGGTAAGCTAGCACAAAATCCCAGAGAGCAATAGGCCCAAGTGCACGTCAGAATATATGTGCATTAGTTTTGCGAGTAGGGGAGCGCGGCCTAAGCCACCAACACGCAGTTTATCTCTTTTGCAGCTTCCTCATCCCCATTCCATTAGTCAAAAATCTGTCAGCGCGCAGCGCGTTCGGTCCGGTACGGATTCGGTCCGCTAAAAATCGGAAAAATCGGGTAAAATACGGGAAAATTCGGGCAACTAAACGGGAAAAGGTATCGTGCAGCTGTGAAGTAATGTGCACTGTAAAACAACAAGTGTGTGTTAGTGAAGTGCAGTGAAATAGTTGAGCATTTAATGAGAAGCACAGCATTTAATGTGGTGCAATGGTTGAACATTTAGTGGACAAAAAATCCGAGATCATTTGCGAAATATGCGACAATATGTGAAAGTGAAGTGTTAGAAGTGTATTATTTTTTGTAAAAATATATGTACGTACATAGAGAAAAAATGTTCTAAATTTGCACCAAGGGCTTGCAATGTGCGTGTGTGAAAATGTGCCAAAAAAGGGCGCGAAGTTGCCCCCTCCCTTTACCAGGCAATCATATAAATGCGCAAGAAAAAAGAAGAGGCGCAAAAAGCAAAGAGCGAGTGTATGCGCTCTCATTTCAAGTGTCTCCTAATAGGGTGAGGCAACCCAATTCGTGCTAGTCTGACTCTCTCTCGTTGAGTGTGTGCGTACGAACTTCCATCCCAATGCCTCACCCTAAATTAATGTGCCCAAAATCTGTGCTCTTGTTAGACTCTTTCTCTCGATCCCGTTACATTTATTTCGTTTCGTCGTATCGTCGCGCGGGTTACGTATGCATGTGTGTGAAGAGGACAATAAGTACTTCACGACACATGCGAAAAGAAGATGCACAGTGAGGAAAAGAAGAATGTAAAAGGCAAGTGAAAATTGATTATTTATGTTTGCTTTACAGTTTATACTCTTTTTTCGCAAATGCTCGTATATTTTTCTCAGTGACGATTATTTTGTTGCTTTAGTTATTTTGTTTTTGTTTATGGCTTTACACTCTCGAAATTAACCAAAAACAATTCTCCTCACACTTGCACCTCTCGATAAGTGAGCGTGGATGCAGATATTTTAATATGGGTTATTTCAAAGGTTATTTCAATTTAGAAACAATTTTACTCATATTTTGTATCCCAAACATGTTGTCGTGATAGATTTAAAGGTTTTCCAGTTGCCATTTCTTATGCATTTGCGGTTTGATGCTGTGTTTTGCTAAATAATTTTACAAAAACAGCAGCAGCCTGACAAACAACAGTCATGATAAACGGTTGCTTTTGTCGCTTTTGTGGTTGTACGGCCTGTCTCTGGTGCTTACCTGTCACACAAATGGAATTTATGTCCGACTGCGGTCGGCCACATGGGCAGCAGTGGCTAAAAGTGGGTAAGTGGGTAAAAATTGCATTGATTAAAGTTTGTTATTTGAATATTCATTGGCAGAGACGACAGCTGTTAATGCCAGCGTAGCATATGAAATATTTATTTATTGTACGGCCCATTGCTATTATTTTTAAAAATTTAGTTTCTTTAGATTTATTTGTCGCATTTGCATTTCTAATGGCAACTGATATTGTTTGTGGTTATAATTAGAAATGTAAATGGCATTTGTTCGAATGGAATCTTTAAAAACAAATTTGGAAATGCAAAAACATTAAAAAAATAGCCACAAATGCGTGACGCGAATAAATTAATTATCATTAATTTTTGGGCAAACTTTATTTAAATGATAAACTGTAAAAACAGCATTGCAGGCATCGCTGCGTATGTGCAACAATTATGTTCATATTTTTGCATTGTGCTGCTCAGCATTTTTCGCATTATGCGGACCGTCCTTGGGGCCCAGCGGCCAACTAAGCAATAATACGAAATTAATTTGTGTTTATTTTGGCACAAATTATACGAGTGGAAAATTTATGTTTAGTGTGCAGAAAGCGAGCTGAACGGGGGCCGGGGTCAGGCCGCATATCAATTAAATGCATTTTCTGTCTCGCTTTTCGTCCAAATTGAATAAAGTATTTTCGATATTTATCGCCTGGATGGGGCCTATGTCGGCTTCCAGGATTTATGGCAAATTTTTAGCAAAAGACAAACATTTCAGTGTCCTTGAGTGTATCCCTCTCTGGCTCTGCAATATTTATTACACACAGTTGCACACATGAACATGGCGTTTGTATGTATATGTAATATCGAATTTTGTGGCCCACAGCCTTCTACCAGTTATTGTTTGGTTTCCCACTCCCCACTCCCCACTCTCCCCTCTCCACATACTGCTAGCTGGCTCTTTCTCTCTTTGTTGTGTTTTATGTGTGTGCTACATTTGTTTTCATTTACAAGTATTTCACTTAAAATTTATTTGCCATACACATTTTTATGGCTTAGCCCCGACTTTGGTCCCCCACTGACACTGCAACAGTGCGGACTTGGGGCTCTTAAATTATGTATTTGGCGAGTAGTAAAATTACAATTTATTTACCATTCTACTGTTTTATGGTAGACTCAATAAAAAGTCAAATATATAGACGCCACATCCACTGGAAGGTCAAGCATATGCTTTGCATATAACAAAGTAGACCGCTCGGCACGTGATTTCCCTGTGGCCGTTACGGCCATTTTAATTGGCAATTGGAAGAGTTAATCAAATGCATGCCGATGGCATTGTTTCGCTTTTTAATGGCCAAAGTTTCGGCGTTTTACCTTTAATTTCAATGAATTCATTTCGGCAACAGTTTGAAGCGACATAAAAACATTATTTGGTAGGACTAGCGCAATGGCAGCTGGTGCTGGTGCTGGTCCAAAAGCATCAGCCATTATGACATGCCAGTCGCTGCCTCCGCTTTGCTTTTGCCTCTCTGCCTGCGAGGGGAAAAACAGTTTTCTGCTCTTAGTGAAACAGAAAAAAAAAAAAACAACAAAACAAAACGTAAAAACCTTTGCCAGGCGCGTTGCTTTTAAAATCCTTTCGCTTAAGCTTTTTGCATTGCGTTTTTGCCTCTGTCTCAGGCCCAACCAACCCGTGGGAGCCCCAGCTCTGGCTCTGTCTCTGGCTCTGGGAGTATTTTATTGTGCAATTGTATTTGGTGCTCATGAGAAATTGTATGCGTGTAAAGACGCTTAAAACTTTCGCATCACTTTCCTACCCGATAAGAGCCCTGCTGCACTTGAGTCTCAAGTTTCATTGTTTGTCTGCCAAATGCCGGCTTAAAACTTGCTTGCATTTTTCGATTTAATTTTTTAA